TTCATAGAGAGGCGATTGTTAGAAAAGATCTGATTGGTGCATCTGCGACGATCTTTCACGGTCTCACTGGGGTAGCTTATTTTCAAACAATCCAGTAATTTGATTGGATCCGCAGCGTGCTGCTCTTCAATGAGCTACAGTGACACTTAAAGACTACAATGTTCCATTTTGATATTCATCAATAGTTGCTACACAGTAAGGACATGCAAATCAATATTTGTGCAAAATGCACATATCTTAAAAGCTTCGCTTAAATCGGATAACTTTTTTTTTGTTAATGCATATTTGCATATTACGATCAGGCGAAAAATTTTAAAATTTTTTCGCGCAATCGAAATATGCAACATTACATTAATAAAAATTACCCGATTTAAGCGAAGCTTTCAAGATATGAGTGGAGGCGTATCTTATAATTAATTATATATTTTGAAGTTAATCTTTAAAAATTATTATGCCATTTTAAAAAGGTAAGGCCACTAAGTTGTAATAGATTGATTTAACTACAAATGGTTTTCTTTTTTTTAGTATTCTTTTTATGTCAAAGGCTATTAGCTTTTAAAGCTTGTGTAGTCTTTAAATATCACACACTGTACAAAATTCTAAAAGTTTGGTATAGAAATGTAATGATAAGTATCTTTGATTCCATGATAAAGTGAGTTCATTGCATAGCCAATAGTGATTTTATATGTTGCAGCCGTGGTACCAGAACTTTGGGAGCCGCCATGGTCGACACAAATTGAGTCATGGTCTAAAAAATTACCATTTAGCACTTGTTTTCTAATAGACGTTTGCCAATTAATATTTGTCCAGAATTGATCTGAAATCCAAGTACGATTCTGAACCAAATCCAATTGTATATTCGAAGGCATTTACAGCTATTGCAAATTTTTGATCAAACTAAAATTCGGTTTCGTTCTAGGAATTAACTAACTCTTTGGAAACTATACACTATCTCCGGAAAGTTAGATAATTCATAGGACGAAACAGAAAAAACTTTCGGGAAAAAGCAGATGTTTAGTTTCAAATTTTAAACCTATAAAGATTATTTATATTGATCTGAATATGGTATAGAAGTATAATAAAGTTTTTATGTTTTGGGTTTAGTCTTTTAAGACTAGGTTCTAATTCTAGAATTTAGATCTATAGATTAAAATAGGCTCTAATAAGTATAGAATAAAAAGTTTATAAAAAATGGTTTTAGTCATCAAGATAATCTTGAGTTAGATAAATTGCAAGAGGTTCAAATAGTCTTCATTAGTACTACACAGTGGCTCAATATAACTGATTCTTTGTATAAAAATGCTAAGTAAAATCTTGACACAATGGACCAAGGCTTAAATCACACGATAACAAATTCCGATATAATGATTATTAATAAACTCATAATATTGCAAGCTTTAGTCAATTTCTTTCTAATTACTCAAACAATGCTTTATACCAAGAGTTTCTGTGCATACTTAGCAGGTTATGGTATTTAAAAAAGGTAAGAGTATAATCATATGTACAATTTCAATTATTGCCAATATAAAACTTTGGTGGCACGAATGTATCTGACTGATACAGGTTGCCCCAGTTAATATCAACCCATTTGGATTAGACAATTAT